TCAAATAAAATGTAATCGAAATTATATACATCGTGATTAAAGAACCATAAATACACGTGACAACTGGGATAGATCTGACCGGCGTCTTTCGCGTAAGTAATTGCGGTTTCACGACATAACACGCAGACCCGATTTTTGCGGTAGATCGGTGTGAACTGACAAAACTGATCGGCGAGCTGTCCCTCGACTACGCTTCTCGCTTTTAAAGACAGAGAGATAAGAAAACGCAGGTAAAATCGGCCACGGGTCGAAGCACCGTGCCACTTCCGAGGGGTTAATTACATTCTTGCGAGCCTCGCACGAACGAGTGAAACCGCATTTTGCTTCCTCGATTGCACTTTAGCAGACCACAGTGCAATAAACGGTAGCGTTGCGGGAACACGCCGTCGGAGACCTTTAAAGCGCCTTATACCATCTTTTCGCCTAGTACATTCTGGGAAAATTCTTACCAGCTTCTACAAACTTACGCATCAAATATCGATGCGTCGGTCTTGATCGTTTGACTTCATCGATTGATTACAGAAGCTACTCCAGCCAACAGCTACTTGATTACAGCTTGTTTGATAATTTTCTGTAAGTTTGGTATTCCTGCACTGAAAATTGATCAGATGATCAGATATCATGGAAGATGAATGTTAGCATAGCAAGATGAATGTTAACATGGAAGAAACTTAGGACTTCATTAGACTATAAAAATATTACAGATATCTAATTTGATATCTACTTTTATTTAAAGCTGAGAACTTAAATTTCTAAACTTAAGTTTAATAGAAAGACCAAAGATAGTTTTACAAAATTTTAGTTGGATTGCAGCTTGTAGTGGCTATTGAAGATAGTAGTTTCCTACATACCTGGTGAAGTACAAACTGGTGGGAAGTCACAGAAAAAAGTTCAAAAAAGAGAGAAAAAAGGCCACGGAGGCGAAAAGGAGGAGGTTGAAGGTGGCGGTGGTACAAAGGAACAAAATCCCGAGGGTGGGGCAAGCGATCCACGATGCGGGAGAGTGAAACCGCCCCCACCTGCTTCCCCAATCACAGGCTCCGCCTCCAGAAAGCCGCATGACGTCACACAGACACTTGTTACGCCTTGCTGGTACATTGGATTGCTACTTGGACCTTGCTAACCTGGAAAAGTCACCCTTTTCAACCCTTACTAATCTATGGCTATCTTTATCTAAGTTTCAAGCTACAAGAATAGAAATATTGTCTCTTATTATTTTGTCTCTTTTCGATAAGTTTTATATGATTCTATCTGAATAAGACACTGTTGAAAAAATAGTTAGATGCTACTTACCAATCTTCTTCTATAATTAATTTTCATCAGATGTTACTCTACTAAAAATTAGAATACTTTAGTATTTGATTTATTTTAAAACGTTAGAATAACTAAAATTAAGTATAATACCTAATTTACTAACCTGTATAGAATAATCACCCTTTTCATAATTTTTTTAATTTATTCTCCAACCTGCAAAAATCAAAATATTCTATATTATTACGTTTATTTTCGCTACTAAAATTTCATAGAATTCTGTTTTATTTTAAAACATTAAAATAAGAATAAAGGTTAGGTGAGTAGGCGGCCATATTTAAATTTCCTTTGCATTCCAGAAAACTGAATCTTTCGTAATAACATATGCAGATATTATCCTGTTATATACTAGGAATTCCTAAAATCCTCGACTGTTCGACTACCAATTATTTCAAACAAGGATAAGAGTCTCTCCAACAAGTCTGTACGATTACGATATCGCGGGTACCGAAAGATTGGCTCGCTTTCGAAAATAACACGATAACATGGGGAATTTCGACGATACTACTTCCTCCTTATCGGTATTACAACTAGCCAAAAGATTATACAGAGAAACGACTAATTACTACGAATTAGTTCAACTTAGAATATTACATTAACGTCATTTCATTTGTACGTTTTAAATATATCAACGATAATTAGTCGAATCGGATTTTGATTAGATGCAAAATCGAGCTTTACTAGAATATGCAAATATATTTACAAATGGATACAATTATAGGTAGCAACTATGATGACACATGGGATTTTCCGTAAATTCGCAATAGCTATGAAACACGCTGCATTTACGTACCTTTCACAGTATCAAGTGACCTTCGATGCATTTTTCTTTTTCTATAGATTTATACATTTATCGATAGGTTATACTATATTTCTTGATTTTTACATAAACGAACATTGTTTTCAATATTTTCTATAAGCTAACCTAATTATTTTTAATCTAATTCTGAATACTTAATCTGTTATCGTCATATCTGTACGATTTATGCAAAGTGTGAAGTAAACGAATGGTCACGTTCTAACACCCCGAATAATGCATGATTCAATTTTATTTCGAGCTAACCTAATTGTTCTAAGTAGAAAGTGAATACTTACCTTCATAAAATTTTCCATATGGACATGTATGTAAATATACTTATATCCTTAGATTTAAATGATTTAACGTATTTTTTCATTCGTGATTGAATGCAATTTGACAAGAAGCTGCAATTTTTGAAACGACAATTTGGAACACGCGAGCAACTACATATGGCGGTCAACACTTGTTTCGAGAATCGTAATTATCGTAAACATGTCGAACGCCCTATCGATCGAGATCATATTATTCCCTCCCGTGCGTGGCGCTGTCTAATATAACCTAATTTGCTATCCTATCAAATCACACGTGTTTCGTTCAAAAACACTGAATTATACTAAATAATGTACACTGAATAATATTAAAACAAAAAGTGTAATCGATTAATTTAATTCCAATACCATATACATACCTATCATACGATCAAATGAAATCATTTACTAATCGATATGATTATTTCCCACGACTGACACAACTTCCGAGTTGAATAGTGTGACAGGTTCGTCGGAAGCTGGCGAAAAACTTTCCACGTGAAAAAGTAGGCTGTGCACACACATGTATGTATATAAATAACCGGAGAAACATAAAAACGCGAACACTGGTCAGAAAA